ATAAGCAGTTAAAAGTATTTCATGCAGATTTTGATGTCAGCTGAACTGATTTCTAAGCCCTTACACCATGGAAGATACTCTAATTTCAATGGGCGATAAAAGCTTTTCCTCAGCATACTTGAGAGCTACTTCTTGACTCCAGTGCACAGCCTCGATTGCACAGTATATATAAAACAAGTCACTAATATATTTTAAATCTCCAGCCGGGATAATAAGCACTTTGCGAGCACTTAATCGTAGATGAGTTTTGTTTTACAAGAGTCCGCGGTCAGAAGCTTAAAGTGAGAATCCCACCCAGAACTGCACCTAGTCCTCCGCTGACAGCTGGCAGGGAGAGGAATTTGGAAAGGCATTCTGGGAGTAGCCGCTACCAACATTTTTAAAGGCTTAGCTCTGAATTATTTAATCCATGTTTGGTGTAACGTGAAGGGGATACAGCTCAGATGGAGGCCAGGCGTGTGGTGCTGGATGGACATGCCAAAGCCTTGAGAGTGTCAACAGTGGTATTCGGACAGTTGTACTAGAGAAAAGTAAATAAAGCTGCACACAAGGGCATTCCTATAGTTTTCACCAACAAACTCTTGTCCAGGGTTGTACTTCTAGGGAATTCTGGTAGATAGTGATACTATCTGTGGTAAATATTGGACTTTCACCTCAGGGGTGCACTATAGTACAAATGTGTTATTCTAGTAAAGTATTGGCAAATGTTATGTCTGCACCAATCCATCTTTTTCTGTTCAGGCTGATAGGGACAGAAAATGACACTTAGTAGTATTTCCTTAAAACACAGTTAACTTAATACACAAGAGATCCACTTGTGTTATGGAACTGTTAATTATCCTTCAAACCACTACTGAACTATTTTGTATTAATAAACGTTCTAGCATAATGAGATCCAATTAAAGGCTCAACCAGGTTATTGCCTGAACCAAATCGGTAGTGGTACATCCATAGAAAATGCAGCATGAGACAATGTTTTGGTCTTACTTAGAGGTGGGCAGATAACCAAAATAACAAAAATATTGTTAATGTAGTTTTGAAGATACTCCAGCCTGGAGCATCTGTTCTGGATGCGTCCCTGGGGAGATATTCCGGACATGTCCCATGGGGAAGAGACCCCGGGGAAGACCAACGACACGATGGACAGACTATCTCCATCTCTGGCCTGGGAACACTCAGTCCTAGAGAAGGAGCTGGAGGAAGTGTCTGGGGTGAGGGACGTCTGGGAGTTTCTGCTCCCCCACGACCTGACCCCATATAAGCAAAAGTAAGTGAAAGGATGTTTTGAAGACAAGCTAAATTTTAATATCATGTATATCTCATTATAAAAAATACTGCATAAAAAGTTGATTAAAAATTGAAATGGGTAAAAAATGCATGTAAGCTTCCAAATAACAATTAAGTGATATTTCTACACTTCTCACCCACTACTCATGGGTAATTTTACAGTCGTATCACATTTGTCTGATACTTATTGTTATATTCATTTTTGACTGTATAATCTACTGGTTATTGAAAGTGTTCAATGCTAATAATAGAAAAGAAAACTGAAAGAATAGAAAGATAGTCTGCTCTGTACCGTGGCAACTTAATATTATTGTAACAATTTAGATGTAGCTATACAACTTTCAACACCTGGAGAACCCACTCAATGCACCTGCCAACTCACAGACAGAGAGGGGGATTCATTTAACACCTGAAGCTAAATTCTTATATGTAACCACCATTCTTTCATTAAAAAATATTTGGGTTGCGTGGACGCTAATCCACAAGAATTTTACCTTTCAACAAGTAAGTAAGTTCTCTCATACTTTGACTACAGACATACAAACATTAGCACACCCATAGTAAATCATATGACTGCATATTTCTGTCAGCAATTTCATTAAAGGTCCTATATTATGCCAAATTGACTCTTGTGGGTTTTAAGTCCTGGTATGATGCCGTTACCTCATTAACCCAAAGTTGTGTTTTGTTTCATTCACACAGGTTTGAGCAGTCCCGAATAATTAGTCTGTCTACATCTCTAAAGTTCAAAATGCTCTCCACCTTGTGATATCATGTAGCGATAGTTTTCAAGTTAACAGCTACATTTTACCTTTTGTTCAGTAGTGATGGGCTGAATTTATCCAGATGATTATAGTGAAAGCGTATGCAGATTAAAAAACACAGCGGAGCACTTCCTGTATTACCACATGACATCAAAAGGTGGAACAAGGAATGTTTTCTGTTTGAGAGAAGTACTCAGCCTAAATGTTGCAGAATTTGTGTGTTAAACATGTGTAAATGAAACAAAACATAACTCCAGGCATGTTTATGATGAGGAAACAACATTATAACATAGATATGAACATAGGCTACGGTTTGTAGTATTTATTGTAGTTCCTTAACTCAGATTCTCATCCTGATCTACTAAATTTAGAAAACACTTAAAATGTATTCTTGTGTATGTAGTTTGCATCATGGCCTTTATAATGACCCTCCACTACTGCACCAACCTCATGTGGCTCCTCAAGCATGACACTCTTAATGATTAATACGATTCTAAACAGGAAAGACTCCGCTAAGTTAAAATGCAGACAACTTTTAACCCGTAAATCCTGGCTTGCTTCTTGAGTGTGCTGGTTTAAACACATGTTATAGTATACAGAGATTTGGACCTTAGGCTTAAAACCTTCACGGCAATGATTAGACAGTAGACTGATAAACAGGCCTATGACATAATGTGGAAACACTGAGCCCATTCACAGACCTCATCACCCGCAAAACATCCAGCGTGCTGGGCGAAATCTCACACATATAAAGCACATTCCTGGTGGTTGGTTGGTGGGATGGGGAGCTGCTACAAGGGGGGAAAATGGCTGTGTAGTTGTGGAATATCACTCTGTGTTAGTTGTGGAAGAAGTACTCGATATTGTTACTTAAGTTAAAATACAGATACAAAAAAAAAAAAAAAAAAAAAAAAAAAAACTCAAGTAAAAGTACCACATGGGGAAAAAAATCAAACAGTACCTGCTTTTTTCTATAGATATGTTTTTGCTCTGCTTAGAATGTTCCGCAGTATGACTTTAAACAGCTCTACCTTACATTTTATACAATTACAGGCATAGGCATAGGCATTGTGACTGTGAGCAGGGTCACCTCTCCACAGAGAGGTCTTGGTCTGGTTTGGTCTGGTTCATGAAGATAGAAATGTTTAATGCCATACTGTGAAACATTCCAGACAAAGGAATGGAGAAAGGCATTTGACGGACCCTCCAAAAGAAAAAGTACACAAAGCACCTTTTAAAGAGTAAGTATTTAGTACAGATTTTAAGGTCCTATAAGGCTTGAACTGAATCAGTTATTTTTTGTAGCTGTTTTATTTGTATAGTTTTCTCAAACAATGAACTTGATTAAAAAAATTAAATAACAGCCTTTTCAGCGGGTCTCAGACAGTAATAAAAAATACTGTGCATATCTGAAATGTAGTGAAGTCAAAGTAAAAAGTATCCACAATAAAATGTATTTAAGTAAAGTACAGATACCTAAAAGTTATACTTAAATGCAGTACTACTTTTACCTTGTTACTTTCCATCACTACTCTGCGTACCTCTCTTTTCACATGTCCAGACTGGAGGAGATTAGGAGACTGAGTGGTGCCTTCTTTTGCTGCTTGCTTGAAAAACCGTGTTGGAAAGAGGATGGTGTATTTCCCCAGAGAAGAGATGACCCCATCGCCTTGAAACTTCCTGTACTGTTCCCTAGAAAGAAGATAGCATTTAGAAAGGCAATGCAGATGGATAAAAGGGCAAGCCGTAAATAGAGATAGACCAATATGGGTTTTTTTCATGGTGGATGCCGATACCGATCCAGACAAAGCAATGGCTGATCAGCTCTGCCAATATTTTTGGACTGATATATTTAGGTAATCTTCCCCAAATTATGGAATAAAAATTTTGTGCAAACTCATCCACAACCTCTTTATACTACAAATTGTATAGAGTCTAGTGTACTAACATTTTGCAGTACCCTCTTTGAACTAAGATATTCAAACAAAGCTTTATGCATTTATCTTTCATGCATGTTTAGGCAACTGTTTGGGCCTTTGATGAAGAGTTATGGCCGATCGCTGATATGCTAAAAAGGGCAAATATCGGCCATCTATCGACCAGGTTTAGACATAAATGCTGCTGCTTCCATTTTCTTATAATATATGTTTAAAAGGCATTCATAGACTTACAGAGAAAATATGGATTTAAAGGTGCACTATGTAGCCTAGCATTTTGGTGGAGGATTTGCCACCTGCTTGGCCTGTTGGTTCCACAGTATGGCATTAAAGTTATCTATCTTTAAGGAAACAAGCAGCTGACGTTACCAGGCAAAATTACAGGTCAGGTGTGCGAAGAGGCGACCCAGAGTAAGAATGCATATAGGCCTATTTATGGGCAATAAACATAGCTATGATTGAATAAATGTTTGACAAATAAAACAAAAACAATACCATATTGTATCCATTGAGAAAAGCTGGGGATAGACACCTCCACAGAGCACCTTCAAATGTAACCTAGAATAAACAGAACAGAAACATGAAAAAAATTACATATTTTCAAGTCTTAAATCGTTTAGATGTTTGGAGGGGAAGTGCTCATCTTGCTGATCTTTTACAAACATTCATTGTTGCATGGAAACCTCGTTGTAATCAAAACGGTAAAGTGATTGCAAAATATGTTTATAACCTCAATACCTATGTCCAGAACGTTTAACTTCACGAGAGAACGAGTCGAGATTTCTTTCAGCTGTATCAAAAAAGTAATACTGCGCCTCCCCCTAGTGTCCAATGTACGTATTACATGGCAAAATAGTCTGCTTTAAAACTACTCAGAATATCAGTTGTTGCGTTTAACTTACACTGCATAAAACACAGATTTTTAAAGCACTAAAACTATACAACAATTACATTTATAAACGCTAACCAGAATAATTATGTGGCGAATCTGCGGAGAGGAACTACACCGGGCAGGAAGTGAAACCCACGTGTGCCAAAGCATCAGGATAGCACAGAGCTGCTAAGGAGGACTGGAAATGCTTATAAATTCGTTCTAGGAACTGATATAACTTTCTTTGATTTGTACTTGAAGTTCTCAGACGCGTTAGGCAAAATGTCGTCGTTCAGGAAAGCGTTGAAATCCCGACAAAGAAACCACCATGAAAGATCTCAGGTTTGTTGTTGGTTAGCATGCTAGCTCTGGTCAATGTAAATAAATGGCAAATGTCTAAAAAGAGCTATAATGTCAACACGGTTTACTATGTCATCTTTTCCCATCAATAGCCTGGTTTTCGAAAACATCTGGGATTGTTGGAGAAGAAGAAAGACTACAAACTTAGAGCAGAGTAAGTTCATAAAATGTGTCCACACTTTATGTATTGTGGTGCTGCTGCTGCTTACCTATTGATAAGTGAGTACTGCATCATTAAGTTGCTATTACTAGAATATATCAAAACTGTTGAACTTCATGGTTTGTTTTAAGTAAGCTTTGATAATAGGCGATATTGTAGCATCTCTATTTATTTATTTATTTATTTTTCAGAACAGTTGCTTAGTTGTATCATCTTTATTGGAGAGGAGAGACAAAATTACCACAAGATTGTGCACACATGAGAATTATCATTTTAATCATGTGTTTACTATTGGATTGTATAAAAAGTACTGCTAGAATGGCACAAAAACAATGTGAGTCCAAAACTGAATCACGCAGTTTATCCATTAGAAATTATGTTAAAATTTCATCTTGTCTCGTTCTCATGGATCCAATCTTGTGTCTCGTTTCATCTTGTGGAAATTATATCTCAACCCCTCTCTTTATTATCTCAATATGTCCTACATTGTTTTCAGGTACAGAGTAATATAGGAATATAAAAGACTAATTGTGTTTTTTTCTACAGTGATTATCATAAGAAGCAGAACACACTTTCTGCTTTGCGGAAGAAAGCACTGGACAAGAATCCTGATGAGTTCTACTTTAAAATGATCAACACTCAGCTGAAGGTTGGAAGCAATATCACAGTCATTCTCTTGTTGATCAGCCATTGCGGTCTGGTTCAAAGCTTCACTTCATGTTTATGGTAGGATGGAGTACACGTAGAAAAGAAATCCACTGACGAAGAGATGACAGAGGAACAGAAGAAGATGATGCGGACACAGGACATCAAATATATAGAAATGAAGAGAGTTGCTGAAGCTAAGGTGAGTTCAGTTCTTCTATTTTGCAAACTCCCTGAATAAATACTATCTGATGCTTTGTTTTACTTAAATGCATACTGTACTTTTCAGAAAATTGAGAGGTTAAAAGGAGAGCTTCATCTTCTAGATGCAGACAACAAACCAAAAAACAAACACACGTTCTTTGTGGATTCAAAGAAAGAAGGTGGAAATTTTTTTTGTCTTCTTGGGCATCTATCTTTGCAGTTCCTGATTTGCCAATGGCCTTGCCTTCTGTTCTGGTTCAAGATCAGTTCAATGTTTTTGGTTTTGTTTTTTTAGTGCAGTCATTTGATTTGGCGACCCACCTCAACACTATGCCTGAGCTGGTGGACAGAGTGTTCAACCGGCCAACTATAGACACACTGAAAACCAAGCACATCCAAGGAGCTGTAGATCCTCAAAGTGTGGAGGTGAGTAAAAAGAAAAGGAAATTGCTGTTTGTTTGTTTTTTCATTAAAGTCACTCAAGGACTCAAGGGGCTCAGTAGGTTCACCCATAACGCAAAGGTTGCAAAGGTTGGCTCTCACCTGCACATATTGCAGCTGTACCCTTGGGCAAGACACTTCACCTTGCCTCCAGTGTTTTAAACTGCTGTTTCAATGTGTGTGTGTGTTTGAGTGTGAATGTGTGAGTAGCTGGGAATTGGCCCTAGGCGTGTTTGCATTTGAGTCATGAATGGTCATTAACATGCATTGCCCCAACCATGTGAATAATAATATATAACATAATGTATATTAATGTGTTTGAATATTTCTTTCCACAGAAACTAACTAAACAACGTAGGCACCAGTATAAAATCCTTGGCCAGAGGATAGACAGAGAAAAGAAGATGTTTGTCATTAGTGAAAAAATTCAGACCAGAAAAGACCTGCAGGTAAGACAAAAGATGGCTCTAACTGGAATATTAACTTTTAGATGTTAATATATTTACAACTTAATATAATTTATAACTTTCAGATGTTAATATATATCTTTTTCATTCAGGATAAAAGAAAGAAGATTAAGGTAAAGAATGAGACAAAAAATTCTGCAGCTGTTTACAAGTTTGAAGCAAAGAGACAGCGCTGACCACAAAGACTTTCGATGGCCGTTTCCATGCAATGTTTGAATCAACAAATAGTGTTGCGTATTACACATGTTATATTTAGTAATCCTGTTTTCTTGAAATAAAAAATACCTGGATTTCCTGATATAATATTATTACTTTGTACATAAGCAAGTGCACAGTCAGATTGTTCTTTTTTTTTTGTATATTGTTTTGCTGCCAGTAGGTGGTATCAGTGTTCTAAAAATACACTGAAGGGACAAATAGGCAGAAGAAATGATTGTAATAATAAAGAAACTAAAATAAATTCACTGTTTTTACATGGATTAATGATCACTTTAAAGTACACATTATGAAAGTACCCCACAGTAAAAGTGCAGGGTTAAGACTATTTAAAAGCTTATGTTTGTTTAAAATTGTGGAATTAATCGGGAATATGTTTAGGATAGACCTTCCCCATTTCCATCTAAATTTTGTTTTACTTTATTTTTTCTGCTTAAACTTGTAAATTCTAACTGATGTGAGAAACACTGGATGTAGCTTTTTTATACACACCACAGATGTGAAGACACTGCCTCCACATCCGCTGAAGGACACTCTTTTGTGGGCTGCATCCTTCAAAGACACAGCCCTTGACTTTTGCAGATCATATTCAGTTTGTACAGCAAATTTCACAGAAGACCTTCTCCACCATTTCAGAGCAACAACTAAGGGCACTGGCAGTTCATGACAGTTATCTAAATCTGTAGTTAGGTTATCTTTATTTAAACTTGTGAGGCAAATGCAGCTGTCACTAGGCCTTACTCCTTAAATGTCAATATGGCAAAACTGCATGGATTTTCTATTGTAATGTAATGTTAAATAAATTATATTAGCTGATTTGGCTTTTTGTTAAATCTTGCCATCATCTACTATTAGTGTATAAATGGTACAATGGCCTTCGCCTTCTATATATAATGTAAAATATTATAAATTATATGCTGTTTCAATTTTGAATGACAAACTGATATTTCTAAGCACATCATATATTGGGCAAGACACAACTGAAAAATCATGAATCCTCTTGCAATAATTTCACAGTTTTGGGTGAAAGTTTCAGTGCTGAGAACATAGGTAGAGGGATTCAATTTTAGAACTCAGTGCTGCTTCCTGGATTTTTGTACTTTTTCTTTTTAACTTTTTCCACAAACTGCTTCTTGACTGATGTATAACTGTGATAAATATTTACTACAGGTACTAACTCACCAAACCAAGTAATAATGAGAAAAACATGAAAATACAATTAATTCACTATAGGTTCACATTTTGCTGGCAGTTTAAATCGTCGTTTAACAAAATAAAGGTGTTATTAATTATTTTTATTAGTCCAAACATAATTATTGTGTAATTTAAACAAGTACTGGCCTGTGGTTACTAAGAACTGTTATGGAATTCATCTATGTATTTCACATCTGCTGTCCTTGTCCAAACAGGAAGTAATATTATAAACTTCACAAAAACATAAATACTAGAAAAAACAGCACAAGATTTTTTGTTAAATCTTAAACATGTGTTCAATAAAAAAAACGTCTGTACAGTTGACAGAATTGAATTTTTTGCCGTGGATCCTACCTGGAAGACTGAGGGACAAACATAAACCTTAAACACAATTATGTTAACTATGTTTTAGAGAAATGTGTAGTCTAACCTGTCAGATGCACTTTAATTTGTTGTAAGTTATTTGGCCTATTGAATCCCGGTTTTATTTAGATAAAATATGTATTAATTTTTCCAGTGTATAAACAATTTTACACTGACACCACCTGCTCTTCCCATTCAGAAACTCTTCGCTCCTCTTAAACCCAGACTCTCCCCCTGGAAGCCATCAGTCTCTGTCATAAAAATCAAAGTTTATTAGCTCAATATACAGTATCAAAACGTCCATAAATCCACATAACTGTACAACCATCGGCATGTAGAGAGCTCCAGTCAGCTGTACCATGTCTAAGTGTAATTACAGCTTTCATCTCATCCTGTGTAATAGACTCACGGTCCAGGAGCGGCACCACTGACCTGGGCCTGATCGATCACGGAGGTGGCACGCGCTTCATAAACAGCACCCATCCATCAGCCTGTCCTGGGACCCACTGCAGTAGAGAGGGGAGAGCCAGGCCCGGAAATGTCACCCACCTGCCCCCCCCACCACCACCGCCAACAAGAAGAGAGGAGAGGGGAGAGGGGGAGCAGGCTGTGAGGCTTTGGCCCAGACGCTGCTGACCAGACCAAAGGTGAGCCAACATCCAGACAGGGCAGAATGAGGGAAGAGTAATGGTTGGTGTTCCTATGGACCACTTAAGCCAATATAAAACTCAATACAAAGTGGAATGTGAGAAAGTCTGCGTATATGCAAATACAGTGTAGAATTGATAGAGTTTGTTTTTGTATCTGTCAGCCTATAAAGTAGTAGTAATATAATGTACCATATGTCAAGGCAAGAGAAATACATACTGCATTCTTTCAAATAAACTCTCTTAAAAGTAGGACCACATTGGGTATACAATAGTACAATAGGAAAAACTGTTTATAGTTGGGTTTCAGATGACATCACAGTGTTCTACAGGCCAATAATATGTAACACAGATGGGGGGCAGCTAAAAAGATGGTTCATGTCTGAATTTAGATATTCTGTATTTCACAATGCACTATGTAATCAATAGGGAAATCTGGTTCTTGCCCCCCAACTGAGAGCATGACATCATCACATTCTAGATTCTGAAGACCACCAATAGCTACTGGTTGTGGTAAAATGTGAGTTTTAATGGATCTTACAAAATGGTATTATAAATGAGTGGTTTGACTGACTAAGGCCTGTAACTTTGATTGTTAATTTGCTTGTACAGAGCATGGAAAAGCATAGGGAATATGAGAAAAACATTAACACAGAGACATTGGTCAATCTTAAACAGTTATAGACATAAAAGTAATTGATGATGAATCACTACATTCTGGGCCCCTTTTCCTACATATGGTTTTGCGATTTAAATGCTGTTCACAGAGATGTTTGTTAGATATTATATATTTAAAATGTTGTTTTGTTATTGTGCAATTGTTCGCAAATAGTATCATAGATTTAATCTATAATATTATGGCTGACTGCAGAATTGCTATTTATTTTACATATGAAAAACATAATAATTGTAATAATAACTTTTTACAGACTAACTTTTTTGTCTTGCCGTCTTGTGTATTGTGTGATATTTTCAAATGAAACCGCCCCTGTATCAGCTTTCAGGGCTTGCCCCTGAAATGCCACTTGCTCCTAACTTGACATTTCCACTCTTCTCATTGATGTCTGTGGCCTCTCCATCACTGAATGACTGACTTCCTCGCCTCCCCCCTCCCTCCTCCCTCCCTCTCTTCCTCCCCCCTTCCCTTTTCCCCCTCCTGCGTCATCACAACCAACCGCGTGCGTGCTCTGGACCCTCGGGCTGGGTCGTCTTATCAGCAGAGGGGGCGGGGGTCAGCGAGGAGAGCCCAGGGGTCAAAACACTGTGTGCGCAATTCCGGGACCCCAATCTAACGGGCAGGCCCAGCACAGACACGCCACTGTTCCTCCTCAAAATCTCCTTTCTTTCCCCCTAGCAGCCCACTCTATAGCCAGGCTGCTGTGGCGGACCCAAGGGTGGGCAGTGGGTGACGTTCATGATTTTAAAGATATAGACAGACATCCCTCTATTGTCAGAAAACCCATAATTCATTTGGGCATCCTGTAGCCCCTAACCCCGGCAAAATGACCCCCGGAGGTTTGCTAAAGGGCAGTCGTTTTAGGAATGGGGGTAAAGTGGTATACAGTGGAGGCAGCTGGAGGCCGTGACATTGACCCTAATATATAAGAACTGTTTGAGTGGAAGTGGAAACTGGTTAAGAATGGGTCTATTACAAAGGACTCTTGTTGGAGAGTTAAGTTACTAGTAATGGAAAAACCTTAGTTATGAATGCAGTGCTTTTAAATAACCAGTGATAAATGTGGGGGCAGTACAGTGTTTTTGGTGCTGACAACACTGTTTAAATTCAGGACAAAAAGAACATAAACTAATGACTATGTAATGACTAATAAACTGACCACAATCATGTCAATAGCAGCTATATAATAATTATGGATCTAACGAAATAAGGTGATATCATATCATCAAAAGTCTCACAATAATATCATGAGCAATCACAATATATCGAATTTAGTCTCTTAAATTCATTGCTATTGTGCAGCATGAGCTAAAAAAACAGCGAGAACTACATAGACGATGATCCTTTGGTGTCACTGCAGACTATATGAAGAAATAATACTTATTAAGCACTTTTAAATCTTAATTATTTGTATTTTAACAGTACCAAAGGCTTTTCAAGACTTTTTCAAGGCTTTTACTGTAGCATATTCACAATTTGGTTGGCCTCCACCTTATATAAATATTGTATCGAGAGATCCCTAATAATAATGTGGCACTTTCTCCTAAGAGCCCTTGAATTATACATAAAGGATAAAATTGAATTATGCATAAAGGATAATAATATGTTGGCAAAACTATTGATTACACATATCCATTTAGGGTGCATTCACACTTGTTCTTGTGTCCTGCTTTAAGCCCAGTGTAGTTTTGACAATAGACCTAATTTGGTCTTTTTATAGCCCTGGTTCAGTCAAAGATTAGTCCCAGTGTCAATTTTGATGTGGTCTATGTGCAAGAGTGAACATACCCAATCTCTATGGGCTGTCAACATTTTTATTATAAACAGCACTTATCAGCAAGTACTACTATGAATGGATCTTGCTCCCCTTAACCAATCTTCACACTTCTTTTGTTTGTCAGTAGTGCCAAAATCGGCTAATGCTTTTTGAGCCCAAATCAGCTCATCAGTTTGAATTATTCCATCTTTAACTTTGTAAATCTTGGAAAATCTTACTAATGATTGCAACGGAGAAAAGTATGAGGTCACCTTTTCAAAATAATAGAGTGGGAACTAATCTGGAAACAGGTACCAACCAGTATTCAATGACGCAATGTCAAGAACAGCAAAATCTTCCACTGTAATGTGTCAGCAAGGTGGTCCAGTTTAATTTGTGGTGCCTTTCTGTTTTGTATGCAAGTCCCCCATGATAAGGTGGTCTTATGGTTTCCATAGCAACTTAACTTTTCATATTGGTACTTTTGATATACATTGTGGATCAAGATCTGGAGATGGTATGATAAGCTGATGCTCCTGACTTGCTATTGAGCTCAACAGTGATCGCCTGCCCCCGGTTCCAGAACAAAATTTCTCATTCATTCTCAATCATTTTTCCATAGAAAGTTTGAAAGTTTGCTCAAAGATCATTAGCTATTTGGTAAGTAATGGCCACCATAGTTGTAATTTTATTTTCAATCTGTCTGGAATGTTATAATTCCCCATTATTAAATCATTTCACCAAATCTTGTGTTTTAGATGTGCTTTTTGGGCTCAAAACAACCTCGTTATAGTTAGACTCTGCCTTTAGACTCTTAATGGTTGAATTTTTCCAGATGTCTATGGAAAAAAATGAATGGAAAATTTACTTTCGGGACCAGAGCAGTTGGTCACTTGGGTCAAATGGAGAGGACAAATTCTCCTACATCAGAAAGACAATCAGAAAACAATTCCTTGAAGCCTGGTGTAAATATACAATCTTGAAACCCCAAAGAAATTCAAGTAATAACTCCCCTCCATAAAACAGTATTATTCTTGAATTGTAGACCCTTTGAGACTTACTGTACAACCAAATGAGCAACTCCCTAAATGCACATTATTAAAACACACATATCACACTATCACACTGTACCTCCCATGCAACTCAGCCTTAGCTTACTGAGCCAAGGTTAAGCGCGGTT